AGCTAAATGGTGCAGTGGATAGAGCACCAGCCCTGGAGTCAGGAGGATTCAAGTTCAAATCTAGCCTCAGACATTAGCTATGTGACCCTAGGCAAGTTGCAAAAATCAGCTGTTATCAATGAGGGCAAATCTGGCCTAGTGGATGGCAGATAGTAGATAGAAAGCACACCTTGGCGTCAAGAAAACCCAGGACCTAAGTCTTCCACTGGTACCCCAGGCAACTCCTTAAAACCATAAATTACATAGGAGTTGCCTGTCTTCCTGAAGAGAGTTTTCAGACTGGGAGCTCCCCCATTGACAAAATCATAGGTTCAGACTTCACCACCACCAAAAACAAATTGTTTATCAATAAATATTTCTTCAATAAATGAATGTGAGGCTCCTTCCAATACCTTCAAAAACCAGATCTATAATTCTGAATAGAAACTTACATTTCTTTATGTGCATTATCTCATTTGGACCTCACAATCCTGTGAAATGGGTACTGAAGGTATTATTATACTCATTTTACACATAAGGAAACTAAGGCTGAAAAATTTTAGCTGACTTGCTCCACTAGTGTCAGAGGTGGGATTTGAACTCTAGTTTTCCTGACTCCAATTGTCAGTTTTTCATCATTAAATTATGAGCTCCTTGAGGGCAGAGGCTGTTTTTGACTTTCATTGCATCCCCAACATGTAGCACAGTGCATGGCGCATGGAAGGTGCTTACTAAATGCTCATTGACTTTTTATTCTATTCACTAAGGAAAATTCTTTCAGCTAGCAATGTTTTCCCCCATCCACTAGAGGGCTCCAGGCCTTCACTAGAGGCATAAGTTCATTTCCATTTTGAAAATGGTTCACTTAGAGCTTAATGAACATTTGTGCAACAGTAAAGGGAGGGGGGTTGCATCTAGGGGTACAACTGGATAAAAGAGAAGGAAAATTTTTACATTAAATTAAGGATGCAAATGAGGTGTAGATAATAGACAAGCTAATATTTTATTGTTCTGTGGTTTGTTTTACCGTCACCGTCCGAATCACTGATTGCAGTTAAGTGAAACAGATGTAATTGATTCTTGGGTGCTGCTGAGGGGAGGGAACAGAAAGAACATGACAGAATTCGAAAAAAGAAACAGCCTAATAGTTTCCAGTAAAGCATTATGGACTCTAGCCAGCCCACTCCCTACGGTCTCTCAGCTAAGTCCCTTGAACAATCAATTACTCAATCAATAAACATTTATTAAGTGCCTACAGTGTGCCAGAATGGAAGAGGAGGAAAAGGCGGGCAGGATCGCCCACCCAAAGTCAGTTTTACTCATTTCACCTACTTATCATCAGAACCATAAAGCGGCTGGTGGCACATTGTAGAGCTTTTGCCCTCTATGACCTGACAGTCTTAAGGAGCAGGAACAAATGTAAAGAATAAAAAGATACCAAAATAAAAAACATGAATGGGCAACAAAGGATGAAGACAATCTATTAGGGGAGTGGGGAACAAATCCCCTTAATAAAAGGATTTGTTCTGTTAAACTTGGACTCAGTCAAAAGGCCACACCCAAGGACCTGGAAGGTCACATGTGGCCTCGAGGCCACAGGTTCCCCACCCCTGCATAGATTGTAAATTCTTTTAAGGGCAAGAAACTTATATTTTTCTTTCTCCTCTCACATACACTCACACCCACACACACCACACACACACACACACACACACAGAGTGTCTAATCGGAGTGTCTTGCATACAGTCTATGCTCAAATAATCAGTATACAAATATTATATTTATATGCTATATACTACATAATAATATAGTATATAGCATATACTATATTATATAATAATCAGTATACAAATTAAGAGTAGAAATTTGTATACTGATTATTATTATAATACAAGCTGCATATACAATATATGAGCTGAATAGAATGGAGTTAATGGAGTCACTACTATTAGCCAAGTACAGTGCTAAGCCCTGGGGATTCAAAGAAAGGTCAAAGACAGACCTTACCCTCAAGGAGTGCCTACTCTAATGAAAACAATGGAGCATAAACAAGATATGAATTACTGATTATAAACAAGATATCATCTACATACTCTTGAGAAATAGTCAACAGAGAAAAGGCACTACTATTAAGTGTGGAAGTGGGGAAACGCTTCTTTCAGAAGAAATTTAGCTGAGACTCAAAGAAGTCAGGGAAGCTAGAGGTGGAGATAAGGAAGGAGAGCAACCCAAGCAAGGGAAAACACTTGAGAGTCAAGAGGCATAAGTAGACTAGAAAGGGAGGAAGTGGTCATATTATGGAAGGCTTCTTTATATTTGATCCTGGAAGCAATATAAAGGCCCTGCAGTTAATTTGACAACTATGTGGAGGACGGATTGGAATTGGAGACCAATCAACGGGCTGTTGCAGTAGGGCAGGAGGGAGGCAATGAGGGCTTGCACCAGGATTGTGGGCAGTGTTAGAGAGAAGGGGTCACATGTATGTAAGAGACGCTACAAAGGTAAAATCAATAGACCATGGCAACAGATTGGATATGGGATAGGTAAGAGTGAGGAGTCCAGGATGACACCTAGGCTGAGAACCTGGGTGACTGGTAAGATGGTGATCCCTCCATAGTAATAGAATAGTTAGGGTCAGCTAGGTGGCTCAGTGGATAGAGTATAGGCCCTGCAGTCAGGAGGACCTAAGTGCAAATCCAACCTCAGACACATGATAACTCACTAGCTGAGTGACCCTGGGCAAGTCACTTAACCCAGACTGCCTCGAAAAAAAAAATTAGTTAGCAAGAGGGGAAGGCTTGGGTGGAGTGAGAAGGGAAAGATCACGAGTTCAGTTTTAGACATGGAGAGCTTAACCGTCTATAAGACATCCATTTTGAGACGTTGAGGAAATTGGAGATGTGAGACTGGAGGTCAAATAAGTGAAATATAAGTGGAACAAATAAATCTAATAATCATTTGCATAGAGATGGTAGCTGAATCTATGGGAGCTTCCAACTGAAATATTATGGAGGGAGAAAAGAAGAGGATCCAGGATAAAATCTTGGAGGACTCCTACTGTTAGGACATGAATGAAGATCTAGCAGATAAGACTGAGAAGTCGTGGTCAGATAAGGAAGAGGAGGAGGAGGAGAGAGAGAGAGAGAGAGAGAGAGAGAGAGAGAGAGAGAGAATCATAAAAACCTAGAGAGAATAGAGTATTAAGGAGAAAAGGGTGATGAATGATATAAAAGGCTATAGAGAGGTCAAAAAGTATGAGAACTGAGAAACAGCCATTATATTTGGACATTGAGAGATCATTGGTAGCTTTGGAGAGTTTCAGTCGGAAGATTGCAGAGAATTAAGAAGAGAGTGAGAGGCTAGGAAATGGAGGCTTTTGTAGACTGCCTTCTCAAGTTTAGCCACAAAAGGGAGAAGAGGTAAAGGATTATAGCTAGCAGGAATAGATTAAGTGAAGCTTTTTTGAGGATGAGTGTGGTTTTTTGAAGACATGGGCATATTTGTAGGCAGTAGGGAAGCAGCCAGTGAGCGGGGAGAGATTGAAGGTAAGTGAGAGAATACTGATGATAGAAGGAGCAATCTGCTGGAGAAGGCAGTACATGAAAAGGAATTTGCCTTGACAAGGAGAAGGGCTATCTCTCTTCATGTGAGTTAGAGGACCAATGATGAAATTATGTTATTCATTTCCTAATAGAGAGCTGATAGATTAGAGATATAGAATAAGATATACATTTTTTGACATGGATAGACAATAAGAATTTGTTTTCCTCAACACATTTACTTCTAACAAGGGTTGTTGTTTTTTTTTTCCTTTTAAACTGAGAGGGATGGGAAAAAGAAAAAAATAAAATGGGGGAAAAAGAATTGAATATAGTTGAAATTCAGGAAAGTAGCTATGAGACTTCCACTCTATTAAGGAAATGGCAAAGAGAAGCAGTCTACACCCTTTGGATCATTCCATTGAGATAAAGCAGAGGTGACCAAAATCTAAACAAAAAAAAAAAAGCCACAAAGGTATTTTTTCCAATTCCTTCACCCACATCAAACGAAAAGTCACTGACTTTGGGATCCTAGGAAATAATGACCTAAAGAGGATTCTGGATGGCAGGTTAAATCTCAATAATGGACTTGGTCCTATAACCATTTCAACTAAACCTCATTTCCTCTATTAGTTTGGTAAAGGCTTTGAGGCTAAAGGATACCTGGCTTGAGAGAGTGAAGCTACTTTCTCATGAAGTCA